CATAAATCTCCTAATCGGCACCTCAGAACCAGTTCTTTCACCCATCTAATTCTAGAAGCCTAACCAGTTCTTTAAGTTGAATAAGCCGGGTAGGGGGTAGCTTATACTAGAAGCCAAAAAATCCACACAAAACAGCTGACCCTGAGTGCAAGGAAGTTGCATGGCGTACACAGGCGACCAATTTGGGAATCCGCCCAGTACGTAGTTCTTCCGGTTGTACTATTTCGCTCCAGTTCTTTTTACTTGTTTTCCTTCTCCCTCCTGTGTTAGACTTTACATATTTAATAAAAAAATATCAAAAATCAATGAGTTTAGAATTCTAAAAAAAATCAATGAATTTGAAAAAATATATCAAAAATCAATGAGTTTAGAATTTTAAAAAAAATCAATGAATTTGAAAAAAAAGATCAAGAAGTTGTAAAAGAAGTCCGTGAATTTTTTAAACATTTGTGAATTTGAAAAATGAAGATCAAAAATTTTAAAAATCACGAATTTTAAATTTTTTAATAACTTATGAAAAAGGTTTGTGAAATTGAAAAAAAATCATGCATTTGAAAAAGTCATGATTTTGATTTTTTATGCAAATTTGAAAAGGTTCTCGAATTTGAAAAAATACATGAACTTGAATAAAATACAATTTTAAAAAATATCTTAAAAAGGCTCACGAATTTTGAAAGGAAAAATGAATGAATTAAAAAAGGGAAATAGAAAAAGAAAAAGAAAAAACCAATCATAAAACAAAAATAAACCCAATCAGGAAAACCAACCTATAGAAAACCGGCCCCAATAGAACCTGAGGGAACCTTCTAGGAGGTTTCCTAACAGATGGTCTAGGTGGGACTGATATGGGACGAACCACATAACAATGGACCATATGCGCTATGGACCAATAACACGGTAACCGATGTCTTAAGTGCCGAATAGGCATCAACTTGCTTTTCCTATATATCGTCTCATGAAGGAACCGCCCCTTCAAGGAAGTCCAACGGCGAACTAGTGGCGCATCACAATGGCTAGTAGAGTCTCTTCTTCTTTATTTTACCAGCAAATGTGCGTGGAGAAAAGGTAAGGGGGTCGCTTTGCTTCCTATTGGACGTGTTGTGGGCCGTGGGATGAGATGCATGACATTGCCATGATCCACCCAGTGAATAGCTCGTCGTTACCCATTCCTTCCACCCCTCTTGCTTCCCGGCTGACCATGTCAAAATGTCTCGTCGACTTGTTCATCTCAAGAATTGTTGTGGAGTAGTCATACACGCTCGGGCGCCCTACCCGATTCGGAATAAATGTGGATTTGAACGATTCAAAATTAATAGTAGGTCACACACTGATAAAAGATTAATGCATCCATATGTTTACATTTATATTATTTAATTGTCTTGCACATGTATATACTCTCCATTGATCAATTACAATTGACTACACATTAAATTTCAACCATTACACCTTCAACAGAGAAAAAAGGACCACTTTACTTTGCCAATGCAAAGACAGGATGAAATTGCTTAAAATGAAAGTTATTGCTCACTATTGCTTGCTCGTAAGGTACGTGAGTGATGATTAGACCAGAACCGCAAAATATAGAAGTGTGAAACATATTGTCTGTATTATTATTAAGTATAGATATAGATTACCAATGGTTGCATGCATCATTCTGATGCATAGGTTGGACATCATTCTTCTTTTAAAAAAATATACAGATTACCAAATAACTGTTATTCGACGGTTGAGGGGTAAAAAACACCGAATAAGTAACCACACCGGTTGTATGCATATATGTAACAAGAAATAAATATAGCACAATCATAAATAAGTTACAAGCTGATGATATATATGTTACTCATTTGCTACGAACAGAAGCTACTACTGTACTGTAACTCGAGTAGAAAAATGATTAAAATATACTGAATATATATTAATTACTACTCGGTAGGAAAAATAGAATGCCAAAAAAAAGGACCGAGGATAAGTCCGGCATGCAAATGGCGGCATTCACCGGCCGGGCGGCGGCTCGGCGACCTCGACGTCGACGGTGGTGGTGCAGGCGAGCAGGCGGCGGAAGATGGCCCGCACCGCGCCGCACGACGCCTCCTGCAGCCTCCTCACCACGGCGCACCCCTTCTTCTTCCTCCTCCGCTTCCTCCTCCCGTTGCTGCCGCCGGTCGTAGTCCCGCGGCGCCCGTCTTGATCCCTCCCGGAGTACTGGCCTCCACCGCCGCTCGAGCTGCCGAACGAGCTTCCGGCGTCGGACCCGCCGCCGCCGCCCCGGTGCGGGAGGAAGCTGGGGAAGACGGCGGCGCGCTCCCGGACGCGGCCGAGGCACGCCATGGTGCGCTCGGGCACGGTCTCCTTCCGCGTCGAGAAGGTGTAGCTGCGGAGGTACATCTGGCGGCACGAGTAGCTGTCCACCACCCGCGGGCTGTCTCCACCGACATCGACGCCAGCCCCGCGGCGCATGCTGGCGCTGCCGCCGCCGTAGCACCCGGCGGCAGCGGCAGCGGGGCTGTCCGGGTGCTGGCGGTGGCGCCGCGCCATGGCGACGGACCGGACGAACTCGGCGTCGGACTCGGGCCACTTGTAGAGGCTGACGTAGCTGGCCCGCACCGGCACGCGCGCGTCCACGCACCCGATCGCCGCCTTGCACCCGCCCGCCATGGATCACGCTGATCTGTGCTGGTTGGAGTGGGGTATGTATATAAGAGTAAGAGACAGCGCGAGTGGCACTGGCGATGGTGGTGGTGGTGCATGTGAGGGCGTGAGAGGGTGGGTGGCTTTGGTTGCAAGGAAAGGTGGTGCGTTTTCTTGCTGGGGGAATCATCATGCGGCATCATCATCACCTGCGTCCCATGCTCCGGGTGCTGCTCGCTCCATTGCTCGTGGATCCTGGTCGGCCCTGCGCCTGCATGCGTGGGGGTCAAATCCGGTGGCCTTCTGCGAGCACCAGCCTGAATGAGTAAAAAAATGTCAAAACTTCGGCACACATGCACCGGCATGATAAAACAAATCGATTCTATCTAGTGGTCCATCATTTACCTAGCATTCTTGATCGGCCTTGATTCTTTTTACAAATCCTGAAGTAAATGCAAGAATTATGCGAGCACCAGGATTTAAACCCAGGTGGGCTGGGGATATCACTGTCTTGCTAACCATGCAATCACAGATTTGTTCGCTGATCGGCCTTGATTTGTTACGTAACAAAAATTAATTTTCTTGTCCCTCATTTGTTGGTGATTCTTGATTTGGTCCCTGAACTCCAATACCACACACTTTTTTTGTGCAATGGTAAAAACCATAAATGAATAGCAGGTCTTAAAAGAACTTCCTTACAAAAATAAGAAATTGAATCCGATGGCCATTGTCAATCAGTATGGGTCAAATCTAGTGGCCTTCAGCGACGCACCAGCCTGAGTAAAATATAGAGTGAATTTCAGTTTTTACGGACGTGAAGTTTCTGCACCTGAGCTCAAATGAGCTCGGGTGAACAGTAAAAATCAAAAAACATTTAAAAAATGTTAAAAAAATCTTATTTTATGGCAAACTTTGACAAATGTTCTAAGAGCTTTCAAAGTTTCATCATGAAATCACATTTGTGGAAGTTGTGGGAAAAAAGATACTCTGAAAATGCTACTTTCGAAAGCATTTTGGAGCACTGATTTTGTTGTTTTTGCCACGACTACCACAAATGTGATTTCATGATGAATTTTTGCAAGCTCTTAGAACAATTTTCAAAGTTTTCCATAAGAAAATTCAGATGTTTTTGAACATTTTTAAATGTTTTTTGAGTTACTGTTCATCCCGAGCTCATTTGAGCTCGGGTGTAGAAGGAGACTTTCAAGTTTTTACCTCTAACTTTCACAATTTTTTACTCTAATGACCTCATTTAACATTTATTTCATCAGAATTACCTATTTAGGGAATATTTTTACCATTTTACCCATTTAGCAAATGTTTTCCCAATTTTTACGCCATTAAAAATTTTCAGAGCGACCTACTGTGTGTCTCAATCTTCAGGTACACACCTCATGCCAAGTCACAATTTTCCTCCTTGCGATTTCCTTCGCCTTAACCTATTCACGTCACTGCGCCTGCGTGGGGGTCAAATCCGGTGGCCTTCTGCGAGCACCAGCCTTGAGTGAGTAAAAAAATGTCAAAACTTCGGTACACATGCACCGGCATGATAAAACAAATCGATTCTATCTAGTGGTCCATCATTTACCTAGCATTCTCGATCGGCTTTGGTTTTTTTTAACGAGAAATCTTCCTATCTATTCATTATCTGTCGAGATAGTATTTCAAATTCTACTGTCTTTTAGGATGATACCCCACCTAGTTTTATTGTTTCTGATGTAATAGGCGATATATCTCCTTTTAAAGTGAAATAAAGTGCGCCATAAAGGCTTTTTCTAAAATAAACACCAGAAGTAAAAATTACATCTAAGTCTGTAGTCCACCTAGCGACGACTGAAAGCACTGGAATGAGCCAAAGGCGCGCCACCGTCATCGCCCCTACCTCATCAGAGCCGGTCAAATCTTGTTGTAGTAGTCAGTCGGGAAGTCGTCGTGCTAGGATATCATAGGACCAGCGCACCAGAATAGCAACCGCCGCCGATGAAGAAAATAGTAGATCAGAAGGACCAATCTGCACACACGGAAGTAGACGAACAAAGATCGGATCCAATTGGATCCACCAAAGACAAACGTCGACCGAATCCCATGAGATCCGCCGGAGACGCACCTCCACACGTCCTCCAACGACGCTAGAAGCATCGCCTGAACGGAGGCTAGGTGGGAAGAACCTTACTCCATCTTCAAGAAGCCGCCTTCGCATTGTCTTTCTAAACATGGCACAAACCCTAATAAAACTGAAAGAAACACCTAGCCCCCGTTTCTAGGCGGGGATCCATGATCCTAGGACCATAGGAGGAGAGACGGACCGGCGGCGGCACCGGCAAGAGGCAGAGCAAACCCTAGCTGAGAGCCCACGGGTAGCACGTGAGAGTTTGTGTTATAACATCAGCTTTGATTTGTAATTTTTTTAAACTTACTTTTCTTTCCCTATGTTATTGGTGATTCTAGAATTGGTCCTTGAACTCCAATTCCACTCACCTCCAATCAAATTTTTTGAAATCGGATGAAATGACATGGCAGAGGTTTTGCACATACAACCCAGACAACACAGAAAAATGAAAAATAATAATACAAATTTGGTAAAAAAAACAAGGAAAATAGAAAATAATTTGGCAAGAATGAAGAAGATTGGAAATATGGTAATTTTTCATGTATGTTCATAACTGTTCTTAGCCTTTTCTTTAGTTCTTTAGTTTTCCATAGTACTTTTAAACTTTTGCAGTCCCAAAATTGCATTTTGTTCATTCCCACATTCTACTATTTCAATTTTTATTCTTACTTATTCAACTTCTATTTTCCAGCTTTCCCACATTTTTTCAGTTATTTTACTTTCGTTCAGATATTTTTTTCTGTATTTTTTCTAGATTTTAGAAAGCACCACTATCTCACGTTCATACCGCTTTCGCTCAGGTATTTGTTAGTTTCCGAACCTACGTGTCAAAGATGCCCAAAATTGGAGTTTACTGACCAAATCTGGAATTCACTATTGAGGGGCCAAATTGTCTCTTTTTCTAGTATACAACCTATCTCCATGTATACAAGGGATTGTTCATTTTGGTTTGGTAGGAAACTGGAGCCATTGCCAAGAAGTTATCATGTATGTAAGGGTGTAACTTAATGCAGCATCTAGGTCGACAATAACAATTAAGAAAAAGGGTTTCCTCCCGTTTTATATTATAAAGCATACCACTAAGCATCCAACGTAACAATGTCAAGTACAATAAGTCATAGAATCATGCTGGGGGCACATCAAGACAAGCCCCAAATAGAACTAAAAGGAGAAGCTAATCCGGCTCGGGAGGGGGAGGAGGAGGCGGTGGAGAAGGAGCAAAAGACGCTGCTGAGACACGAAGACCCGCCATGATGTTGTCGATGACGCCTCGATCGCTCCGCTTACTAAGCGGGTTCCAGAGCTGTAAGAAGCCACACATTTTGTAGATCACATCAGTCACTCGAGACAGAATCACTCGTTCGATGACTCATTTATTGCGGGTACACCAAAGGGACCAGGCAAGGGTACCTAGCGCGACCCAAATAGGGGCGCGCCTAGACCCGGGGAGCCTAAATACCTCCCTGAACAAATCCAGGAGGTTGTCATGGCACCACGTTCCCCCAACCACCTCCCGGAAGCAACTCCATAAGAACTGAGTTGCCGGGCATCGAAAGAAGATGTGGTTGCAATCTTCCGATACCAAACAAATGGGGCAGAGACCATCCCCAGGTCCATTACGCTTACGGACCTCAGTGCCTGAAGGGAGGCGACCTCTAACCCATTGCCATAGAAATATACAGATCTTCAGGGGGAGTTTGATCTCCCAAAGCACCGCGAGCTCCACTCTACGAGGAGTAGGAACAATCGCCTGGTACAGAGATCTAGTTGAAAATCTACCGCTTGGCTCGAGGTGCCAACAGAGCGTATCCGGTTCCAGAGAAGGAGAGTGAAGGGCAATACACTCAAGTAACTCCTCCCATTGCGCGAGTTCAACCGCCCCGAAGGTGCGGCGGAAGGCAACCGCGCCTAGGTTCTCTAGGGCCGCAGCCACGGAGATATGTGGGCGTACACAGATAGAGAATAGCGCAAAGAAACAATCTACAAAGGGGCGGGGACCCGCCCATCTATCCAGCCAAAATAGGGTGGCAGCACCGGAGCCTATTTGGATGGAAGTCCCAATGCGCAGGACCGGTAACAGAGGGATCACCGATTGCCAGAATTGGGAACCTCCAGACCTAGAGGCAAACACTAACGGTTGCCCGCGAAGGTACTTCCCACGGATAATCTGAAGCCACAGGCCACCCTCCTCAGTCTGGATCCGCCAAAGCCACTTGGACAGGAGGGCGATATTCATTCACTTGGAATAAATAACCCCCAAACCTCCCTGATCCTTAGGTTTACAGATCTCAGACCATTTGACCATATGGTACTTCTGTTTATTGTTCTCGCCCGCCCAAAAGAATCGGGAGAGTAGTTTGGTAAATTCATGATGGAGGGATTCATGTAGACTATAGAATCCCATGATATACATCAATAAGCCAATAAGGGAGGAGTTCATTAGAATCACTCGAGCGGCTTTGGAAAGCCATCTCCCTTGCCAAGGCTCCATTCTAGGTTGGAGCTTGGCGATTATTGGACGGAAATCCTTCTCCAGGAGCCGTGCGTCACTAAGGGGCATGCCAAGATAGGTCATCGGGAAGGACCCCAAGCGGCAGTTCAAACGGTTGGCAATCCGCTAGGCCTCCCCTTGAGAATACCCCAAGACCATTACCTCGCTCTTGGCAGAGTTTATTTTGAGGCCCGACATTTCCTGGAAGCAGAGGAGGAGGAATTTGAGGTTCTGAATATCTTCGTCTGACCCTTCCACCATCATGATGGTGTCATCTGCATATTGGAGGTGGGTCAAGCCCCCAGGGGTCACCAAATGGGGGCAAATCCCCCCTAATGTCACCCGCGCTCTTGGCCAAGTCCAGTATTGAGGCGAGCGCATCAACCACAAGGTTGAAGAGGAATGGGGAGATCGGGTCTCCCTGTC